TTCTGGTTCTGCTTTCTTTCACCTTCTTTGTGCTAATTTGTAAAATCGTGATGTCATACTTCCGGTTAGCATTTAGCAAACCGTGGTTGGCAAGTAGCCTGTTTTGCAGGCTGTGTCCATTTTACAAGTTTATTTTTATACTACAGCAAGTCCTCGGGTTGAAGTGCTAACACATGCAGAGTATTCACTCATTGTGTCTGAACAACCACTATAGAACAATAAAATTAACAGGTTTGTGTAATCCAGCTTACATAAAGAAAAGGCCAMCCAGAAGTTTTATTGCCACATGTGTGCAGCTGGTTAAATTAAACAATGAACTCACATAACTTTTCTTTGTTGCAAAGTTTCACTGYTGTCTGCTCGTTTTAGCTATTCTTCTGTTAATACATTTTTAAGGCTTCTATCAGCTTTACTTTTAGCTGATTTCTGCTAATTTCAGCTGTTCTTTTTTTGCTTTTTAGCTACTTTTTAAACTCTAAAAATGAAATGTTGGATTTACTTAACCATGTTATGTTACCTGGTTCCACTTAACTGAGCTGAGTAAATTCAAAGCAACATACTCATGTTCTTTGGCTAAAAAACTGGTATATTGCTTTGAATTTACTCAACTCAGTTAAGTGGAACCAGGTAACATAACATGGTTAAGTAAATCCATCATTTCATTTTTTACAGTGTAGCTAATTTGATCTTTTTTCAACTAAATTCATCTTTTTGTGATCATTTCAACTTCTTACAGCTTAAGTCAACAAACATGCCCTCTGCGTCTTTGTGCTAATGTCAGCTAAGTTTGAGATATTTTTCCACAAATTTCAGCTACTTTAGCTATTTTAAAACAACGTGCAACCTTTTAGTACTTTTTTTTTGGTTTTCTGCCACTGTGAGCCTTTTTACTCTTCATTTAATCTGTCTACTAATTTGAACTTGTTTCTGCTACTGTCTACTTTTGTTTTCCTACGTTTAGCAAAACTCAGCTGTTCAAATTTAAATCGCATTAACAGTTAAGCTATTAAATATTTTCARTATCTTTCAGGGAAAAAAATCTTCCAGCTTTAAGCATTCACACTGCATTTTCATAGGAAATGCAAATACTATATATTTTTGTGTGTGTTTGGTCTCGCTTTAGACGAAGATGCATCAAGTGTGCAGATCATGTGCGCCTGGTGCCAGAAGGTTGGAGTCAAACGTTACTCTCTGAGCATGGGGAGCGAGCTGAAGAGCTTCTGCAGTGAGAAATGCTTCGCCGCCTGCCGCAGAGCGTATTTTAAGAGAAACAAGGTAGGAACTCCCTTTTTTCTTCTCGTCAGCTGGACACTTTATTATGATGCATTTTAGAGACTCTGCAGGGCGACTGAGCCACAAAGTGTTATCAGAAACACTGATGCATAAAAAAATAACCTGAATTTTTGTCAAAAATAGCACGGATTGCAGTGTTTTTCACATTTTCTACTAACTCAAGGGTTTGGGAAGAATAGAGTCACTATGTTACATTAGGCAGCTTCACCCAACTGATAAATAACAAAACAAAAATATGAACACAGTGGAARCACAGCCTGGTTCTGTTTAAAGTCAAAACTGGACTCTTCCACCATTGTTACTTCCAAATGTGGTTAATTGTTAGTCAGTAGTTGCTCATGGGAATATAGTGTTTCCTAATTGACTCACCATTGGCATTGTTTCAATGGTGGTGACATGTGATGAACACTATGTACAAACACCACAAATTTTGGTTAAACACACAAACTAAAGAGAAACATGTTTGTTTCCTGATGTTAAATTGCTTATTTTAAAAATTTAAAAGTATTTATTCAACTTAAACTTTGTTATGAACACGTAAAGGAATAGGAATGATAGTGTACAAAATAATGACACCAAACACAGATCGTTGGATTTAAGAAACAAGATAAAATATGTTTTGTTGTAACTTTTAGCGTTAGTATGATCCAAATAAAACAGTTAGCTAACTGTAATTTGTCAAAAAATGTAGAACAAAAATGTATTTTTTCAGTATTGGCATGCCACCTCATATTATGTTTCATGAAATACTTCAAACTATAAATTTTTTTTGTGGGTAATAATAGCATTCGGTTATGGTTTACAAGCTAACCTGCTAATACTACTGACATAAAGAAATTATAGATTTTTTGTGTTTTTGTATCGTTGTATATAAAATATTTTAAATTTAGCAAACCGCCCAAGTAACATGCTAGCTACCTGTAATAGTTCAGCTAATACAGATATTAGTAGAACAGTAGGTTAGCCTATCAAGCTAACTTGCAAATGCTTCACAAAGAAAATCGTCATTTTACATTACATAATTTGTTTTTAAATTATTGCTTATTTTTTGTTGAAATTATGTATTTGTTTTAGACTTAACACACCATTAAGTAATATGTTAGCTTGCAATAATACTTCGACTCTCAGTTATTCGTGGGCAGAAAGTATAATTAGCGTAGCCAAACTGGCATTTACTAGCTAACCTGCTATTTACACTAAGAAAATAAATTTATTTTGCCTTTTTTTTTATAAAAGCTTCTGTCAGTTGTATCTATACATTTTAAAATTAGCACACAATAAAAATAAGGTGTTAGCTTAGGCTAATATTTAGGCTAAGATATTTAGTGGGTGATTGACTAGCTGCTACAAGCCATATTTTATTGATTACTAGCTAACCTACTATTGCAGTCTACGCAAAGAAAAAAGTAATTGTTTAGGTGTTTGATCATAAAAGCTTATGTTAAAGTTATCTTGTTTGCTTAAGACATCAGTTTTACCTGAAAGCTGTCCAAATAACATTTAAATGAACATGAAAATAAAACCAATGAACATAAATCAACTCATGAACTCATGCATAGGACAGATATACATTTTTACTGAGCTTTTACGTCCACACATTTACTGTGGTTAAACAATCTCTTTTTTTCTTTTATACCCAAGCTGGGATATATAAGGAATTATACCGTGAGTATGACACGTTTTACTCTCCTGCTTGTTTGTCCTGAAGTCAGTTATTCATCCAAACATRACCATTTATTACGCTCTGTACTTGAGATACAGGCACACTTGTTGATAATTTAATTTTACCCAACACTTTTTGCCCCCCAGAGAATTAAAGTCAAACTGAATGTACTGTACTGTTGTTCAAAACTTAGTTTTCTTTTTATACCTTAAGATTTCCATTGATTTGGGGWACTATTGTTGTGAGAATGAAATGCTTAAAGATGACGACGACTTTTTGACTCTTAGGGGAACTTTTGACAGGTTGCAGAGGCTCAGCCCAGATTAAAACGCAGCCTTTGTGAACTGGTTTTGTTTTGATCTCTGCGCTCCAGAGGAGGTCAGATGCAGTTTTTATTTTATTTTTTGAGTCTTCCAGTTGATGAGACAGCTCCACATCACCTCAGCTCCGCCAGGGAGGCTGTAAACATTACATCAAATAAAAGCCCCGTGTGCAGTCGGCTCCTTGCTGTGAGTCTAGAGGCCTTGTCTGAAAGTAAACTGAAATAAAAAGCAGCTTTGGTGATCTTTTTATATGAAAGTGGGACTACTATTAGTTTGTGCAGGTCAAATTTACCAAAATTAGACTTTAAAAGCCATCACATACATCATACATTCATTCGTTCATACATCACGTTAGGCTAGATGTTTTCATTAAAAATGTCTGAATTTTAGAAATCTTTTACATAAATCAAACAAACTGACAATGCTGAATCACAAAAAACTCAGCTCAAAACATAAAATGTCTTGTAAAAATAAGCTTTAGAGGCTGATTTCTCCCCAAAATGCTAATACTGCTCTAAATGGTTGAATTTATTTGTCTCACACTCAAGTCAAGTACTGTATTTAATAAAAAGTTTAATAAATCTTATTATATTTGTAGTTTAAAAAAAAGCTAAAATATTAGCTAAATTTTTGCCATAATTGTGCTAAATATTTAGATGAGTAAATGCAATTTATTTAGGATGATTGCTTCACATTTCCTGTTTAAGTTTTATAGTTTAAGTGACTTAAACATGTAATTCATATTCAGTGAGTTATTTTCTGCCAGAACCTTCCTCATTTTGCCTCCGTGGCTCAGGTTCCATATTTTGTCTGGCTCTGGCACATTCGCACAGCCCATTTGTGTAAACGATACCGGCGTGTTTCTTTTTTTTTTTTCACCCACAAGGTTGGACGCTACAACACAGGCGGGCTGCAGGCTGCGAAATAAAAAGTATCTCGTGTCTGTTTGGGCTCGGGGTCGAGGAGGAGAGATGTGGGGAGGAGAGAAGGGGGCGAAGTGGGTTCGTGTTGCATGAAAATATCCTCAGCTGCTCCATTCATGAAACCCGAGCTCCGTCTACGGCTGCGACTTCCTCACATCTCTGCATAACTCCACTTCATCCTCAGCTCCTCTGTGTATGAATGATGATTAATGCTTCTAACTAATCACTCACGAGCCTATTTATTGTTTAAATTACACGTTAGATAATGCTGGGTCTGCTGTTATTGATTTAAAAACATGGCTTTTTAAATTTTATTTCTGTAACGTTACACTTTGTGTAGATAATTTCCTCTGTTTGAAGGATGCAGCTTTGCGTTTAAAGTGCAGTTTGCAGAAGTCTTCACGGGTTTCCTCGTTTATCTGACACCCACTCACGTGCACGTCAGTAAGCGTGCACGCTCGTTGGACACGGCGCAGGTAATTAGCCGTGATGAATTATCCTCTGTGGTGCACAGGAACAGGAAGGTGCAGCTTCGTKGGGTTTTTTTTGCACGTGAATTATTTCACAAAAACTCAATTTTCTCGTTTTTTATTCCCGACAGTCATCAGATCTGACTCTTTTCTTTGGCGTTTAGCACGTTTATTTCTCTACAAAGATTATGAGCAAGTTCATGTGGGTTAGTCACTCAAGCTTTTAGGTGTTTTTTTTGTAGCCAAATGCTTTGTTTACACTGAGTGCATACCCGCATTTCTGAACAGCTAGTTGAGTAAAAGCTTTCAAACTGTAACCGTTTGATGTGAGGGCTGTTAGGCTGTTAACAACCTTACAATTCAATAAGATTTCAATTATTGTCATAATTCGATTCAGTTTTAACTCAGTATTGCTTTAAATGCTTCAATATCAGTTTCATAATTATAAGACATAAACGAATAATTCATCAGAACCCCTGTGGATAGATTTAGATATTTATTTATTTTTTTCACATATAAATAGAAATCCTATACATTACCGTTTTTGAGAAATAATATATCTGAAAATAAAGCAGTGGCACAGTAATACTTGCTCTAAATTTGGAGTGCAAACACAAAAATACAACAAACTGGCCTGGGGATTGAATAAAATCAGAGGATTTTCTGAATCTGAATTGAATTGAAAAAAATATATTGCAATGTGCTGATGAATCGTTGTTTTTACCCAACCCTATTTGACATACAGTGTGAGTCAAAAGTTTCAGGACACCCTTTTATTTTAGAAACAAAAGGGAAAATGAAATATCTGAATACCCCAGCATGTAATAGGTGAGGGGCTCTACCTTTGAGGCTGTATCTGGAAGATGTGTGCGCCATTTTGAAAGCTGCCATCTTGGATCAAAGTCAAGTTTTTCCATTGGGAAGGTGATCATGTAGCATATAAAAGAAAGCCAGAACTGTCTCAGAAATAGATTGCTGCAATCAGATATAGCATATCTCTCGTGGTTTAGTATGTATCAACACAGAAAGTTGAAACAACTGCGAATGTTGCCTGCTATTTGACATGTTCAGTCGACTGAACACAGACACACCTGTGACAAACAACAAAAGATTTGAACTTCCTGTGTCGATAAGTTCAGTAATCTATTTCTGAGACAATTCTGGCCTTTTTTTGATATTTTACATGACCTCTTTCTCATTAACAAAAACTTAGATTTTCATCCAATACGGCAGCTTTTGCGATAGCAGCCATTTTTTGTACATAACCTAAAAGATAAACCTCCGGTATGGCAGGCCATTTTAATAAAATTACATTTTTAGATATCTCTAAGTTTGTTTTGGTGAGTCATTATTTGAAACAAGATATCTTGCAATGTAATTTTCTGATGTCTACAAATACATTTAAGATATCTTGAATAATGATGTCGTAAACCAATGTCAGATGTCTGGAATGAAAGTGTGGTGAAGTGTGTTTATGTAAAACTGGCCTGCCATACTCCTCATCCGTTATATGCTGGACAATTCAGATATTTCATTTCCCATTTTTGTTTTGAAAGAAACAAAAAAAAAAAAATAAATGTCCTGAGACTTTTGACTCATTCTGTAGATCAGGAAAACCTTTTTTTATTGCAATATTTTTTATGAGTACCATAAAAGGTTTTCAGGAGGATTTTCTGCTCAAGTAATTTTGTGTGATTTAGTGTTGAATGCATTGATGTGATGAACTATTGCAGCTGCTGTTGCAACAGAAAAGCACCAACATTTTGCTTCTCCTCACGGTTCAGTTTTAGTTTTTCAGTGTCTGGATCGGTTCGGTCTGATGCGTGTCCTCTCGCGGTGACTTATTTAACACAACAAAGTGAAGTTCGAAGCAGGTTGCAGTAATTCAGGTTGTTTTTTTTCTTCTTTAATTCCTTCCCCCCTCCCCTCGGAGACCTCCATCATCGTCTTTTTTTCCCCCGAGCTCGCTCCAGGCGTGTGGGGGCAGAGTGTCGCTTCATGTCAGCCCAGAAATGTCACATCACCTTCAACACGAGTGCACATCTGCTCCCGTTTTTTTTTTTTACACACAAACTCTCCCTTCTCCTCTCCTCAGCCCCTCCGCAGTTTGCTTTGCAGCCCCTCGTCAGCTGCCACCGAGGGAGGAAAGTGTAAGAGAGACGAGGACGGCTCGGCGCGTGTGTGTGGCGCCCGTAATAACGCGGCTGCTTGTGGAAATRTTTGCGCGCGTGACGAAGTGTGTGAGTCGTCTGCAGCTGAGGCTCACCGGTGCTCGGGAAGCCTGCAGGCTTTCCCTCACACCGCTGCAGGGCACGGAGAGGAAGGTGATTATCTCATAGCTGCCAGCCATTCAGCTCAAATAAAGACTAAAGTAACTCCAACTAACAAGACGTCGAGACTGTAGAAAGTAAACACCAACTTCCAGGCCTTTGTGTTGTTCCCTTAACTTGTGCTGCAATTAAGGCGAGAAGGAAATCTCTTGTTTGCAACACTTCAAAGCCTGTGATGACTGATGACTCTCAGCTACTACCACAACAAATTATAGCTGAAGAGCTGTAAAACTGACGGAGCTGTGGCCGTTCTTTTGAGTTGGCCGCCTTCTCGGGACGAGCTCAACCGCGCGGTCTTCCTTTTTTTGGGGGGAAGAGCGTCTCGTTTTTTGGTTTTTGGCAGGTCGACGGGCTCGCACACCTGGACGGGTTGTCGTGCCCAGATGGAGACGAACGCCGTGACAGCTGGCGTGACGTCCCCCTCAGGACGGTGGTGTCGCCGGGGGGTGTGGGGGGGTGGATGATGTCTTGCTCTATCGTTCTATTTATCTATCTGTTTATCTATCTGACTATCTATCGGTCTATCTGCCTGCGTGTGGCTCTGTGTCGCCTCACGCCTTGTTCRCGGTGCCAACACCTCATTAGCACAATATGCAAACGAGCTGGATCAGGGCCAGAGGGTCAGAGCACAAACTGGAGGCAGAATAATAGCACAATGGAGCATCTTTCTTTGTGTGTGTGTGTGTGTGTGTTTCTAAATTCCTGCCTGGTTAATGTGCGTTTAGCTCTCTCTCTCTCTCTCTCTCTCTCTCTCTCTCTCTCACACACGTTTGCGGCTCTCAAAATAACAAACGCTCCTCGTAATCCCTGGTCGACGATGTTTTCTGTTGAGTTTAGTCCAGGAGAGCGTACCTGCAGGGGGAACAGGCGGGTGAAATTTCTCCGACAAATCAAAGTTTTCAAGAAGCAGTTTGAAGAGAATCAGTGTTTCACCTTTCAGATAAAAAAATCCACCTTCAGAGCTGCAGACGGTGTGATGAGAACCGTTAATAGATGCCAAGTCTTGATGTCAGTCGCTGCCAGTGGTGGATAAAGTACTCCGTTTCTCTACTCGAGTCAGAGTATTACTCCAATAAAGGTAGAAGTAGCTCTGTCAAATTATTACTTAAGTTAAAGTACTAGAGTACGTGCTTTCAGAATGTACTTGAAATTTTGACGTTTGACGATTAGTAACTCCAAATATAAAATTTAATGTATTAGTTTTATATAGAGTCCCAAAGACACTTTGAAATTTCAGGCATTATTCCTTCACTCCTCAGTCACACTTGGTGGTGGAAGTGTGGCTGCAATTCTGGAAGCTGGGTTAAGTGTTTTGCTCAAAGACACAAGGACAGTAGGCTCCCAGGCAGGGATTTGAACTCTGGTTGTAAGGCGAACGCCTATCCTGCACCACTAAAATCTTTTATACAAAACAACTGAACAAAGTTTATTTGGTAGAAATCCATTATTAGAACAAAGGGATAAAATTATAAAATGAGAATTCAGGTCTTAAATGAGTCCAAGTTAAAATCAGTATCTACACAAAGACCCTAGTATACCTTTGTCTATTATACTACCTATGTCTAGTATACCTAGTGTACCTATAAGGCATCACCAGTAGGACAAAAGTATCCTTCTTCTCCTCACTGTTTAAAGCTGCTTATCACCACCTACTGTATAGGAGTGTAATGTGTCGTTTTACAGTGTGTCATGGGAAAAACTAAACACAAACTACACAAACACGGCCAAAAAAAGTAACTAAAGCCTGTCAGAGAAATGTAGGTGAGTAAAAAGTCTGATTTCATAGTTAAAATGCAGTAAAGTAAAAGTAAGAAGTTTCCACAAAASTGCTACTCAAGTAAAGTTCAAATTCTCAAAAACTGTATACGTACAGTACTCAAGTAAACTTTACTTTGTTGCTGCCCGCCTCTGGTCGCTGCGCAACACGATGGGATTATTTCACATCAAGGTCTTTTTTAAATGGAGGTTCGGTGTTTCTACCCACTAAAAGTAACGTGTTAAAACTTATTGTGCAACTTAAAATACTTCCCGTGTAAAATTCCTGTTACTTTAAGAGACCTTGAAACTAAAAGCCAATAAAATAAACCAGAAGTTTGATATAAAAGTTCTATTGTAGATGTTTATTAGAGTTAAATCTCTACAAATTTCTGGATTTAGTAAAATCTCAAACAGATTTAATCTCTTTAATGTACTGTATATAAACTGTACACATAACTATACTCGTCTTTTTATACCATGTTAGGTTTTGGTTGCAAAACATAATACAGCTCAGTCTGTACTGGGTACTTACCTGGTACTTGTTATATAACCTGTAAGTACAGTGTAACAGAACAGTACGTGCCTGGTAATTATCTGGTACTTACATGGTATGTACCTACAACTTACCTGATAGTACCTGATACTTACCTGAAATATACCCAAAATGTACCTGGTAACATTTACTCACCTGATAATACATAGTACATGCCAGGTACTTACATGGTATTTAAATGGTCCTTGTTGAGCATATATACAAAGTWCTTACYGGGTTTGTACCTAAAASGTTTCTAGTTAAATRTCTGATACTTTACTGGGAATGTACGTAGAACTTACCATTTGCTTATCTGGTACTTACCAGGAACATACTACTGTAGTACTTAATGCAAACATACCTGGTATTTATATGGTTTAATACTGATACCTACAAGGTACATATATGTGGTACTTATGCCGTACTTACAGGGTATGAACCWTGTACTTACTTGATAAGTACCCAGTAGTTACCAGGAATATATCTGATACTTATCTAGCACATACCCTTACGCTCCTGATACATAAATAGTACATACCAAAGTTACTTGGTTTGTACCCAGTACTTACCTAGTAAATTTCAGATAGTTACTGGGTTTGCACCTGGAACTCACCATTTGTATACCTGGTACTTACCTGGAAGGCACGGGGTACTCAGACTGGAACCATAACTAGTAATTTCTGGGAACGTATCTGGTACTCACACCATATCTACCTGATGCTTACAGGGTACTTACTTTCAGTGTATGTACCTGACAAGTACCTGGCACACACCAGGAACATAACTGGTACTTTGTAGGAACGTACCTGGTACATATCAGGTACAAATACAGAACCTAATGAGTATTTGCCCTGTAAGTACAGCGTAACAGAATGCTTCATACTATAAATCAGTCCACATAGGTACCAGGTAAGTACTCTGTACTACCTGATAAGTACAGGGCTGTAGTAAATATATAAATATTTGAATTTACTTTGACTACATTATAAAACTGCCTGAAAATAAAGTAAATGTTTGCAGCCCGTTCATCCTGCACCTGCATGTCTGCACACTTTAACACACTCTTTAGTTATCAGCACACACACACACACACACACACACACACACACACACACACACACACACACACACACACACNCACACACACACACACACGCACGCGCACGCTCACGCTCATTTTAAAGTCACCGTTTCTGTTCTTTTCCTTTTTGCTCTGTTGTTTTATCATTTCTCAGTTTATTTTGTTGTCTCTGTTTATTTTTGTCCATCCTTAAAAAGAGGCCGTTATTTCTCCTCCTCCCCCCCCAGGCGAGAGACGACGATGGCCTCGGTGGGAAATTCCCCCAGCACGTCTTTACTCAGGACACACCCAGGCTTGTCTTCAAGACAAACAGCGATGTGCTTGTAAGGACCATTCAACACCAGATAGACCTCATTTTACCTTGTTTTTATGGTTAAAACTGTGATTTTAAATGATTTCTTTTCCACCTGAATCACCAATAGCTGATATTAACAACAAACTCATAAAGTTTGCTTTTAAGTTTGAGGTTTTCATGCTTTTTATTTTCATGTTTATTTGTTCATTTTCATCACATCACATTCAGATATTTAAAATTATTCAGTTTATTTAACTGAATGTAACATTAAGGAATGAAAAAAATGATGTTCAAGTACAAAATCATGACATAATTTTGATTAATAAGCCACTTAGAGTTTATTTACAGGTTTACTGTCGCCCGCCATCTTGCATGTTAGAGTTTTAAAAAAATTAAGAAATGTTAGACAATTTTGGCCACAATGACCATTTTTACTAAAACATTAAGACCTATTAGTCTATAAAGTTTATATATTTTCAAACATTGAAAAAAAAATACAATGTATTTTTAGAAAAAAGAAATGTTTTAGGGCCTGTCGGTCCAGTTCAAGCTCAAGAATTTTTAGTTTTCTGGTGAATAAACATTCTTGACGTCTTTAAAGCTCAACGAACACTAATTTTTCAGCTCTAATCGTGACTTACATTGTAAAAAACCCACCACAAATCAGAAATAATATCTTTATTTAATCACATTATGATGACTTGAGGTGATGATTTATTGACTAAATTTAAAGAAGCTCTTTTTTCGTAGCCCTCAACCCCTGGAGGTTTTTATTGTTTTAAAAAAGCTCAGTTTATTGTTTTTCAACTGTTTTGATCTGAATTTATTTATTTTTTGGAGCGACATGACAGTTTTATTAACTATTATTTTAGTTTTTGTGTGACCTGTTCGGAAAGGATATGATATACAATCAAAATTCGAGTTTCTAGGGTTCTTAAGGAACATTTTCTCTTCACTTTTGCTCTAAATTTTGGCTTTCCGCTTCACTCTGCCCCTGAAATCACAATTTAAAACACATCAGAACGTTAAATCTGAAGTAAGAGCCAGAAACACATCTTTTACCTGGTTTACTTGTGTTGATTTTATTTTGAAGTTTCACTCATGTAGCAAAGAAAATAAAATAAAACAAATTTTGGTTAAAATCTCTGCAGGCGGTTCAGTTTCTAGCCCAGAAAAAATGAAAACTGATGACACATATGGTGTTTTAAAGTGATTTTATTTCTCCTTTAAACAAAGTTAAAGTCAGATTCTGCTCTTTAAGCTTTAATCCACTGTGACATCAGTGTTTTCCTCTCTTCTGTCTCGTCGTTCTTACAGCTGGAGTTGTTTTTACTCGTTTTACCTTTGCTTCACCTCCACCTGACAGCAGCCTTTTGTGCGATAACGACTGACACGACGGCCGGCTGTGATGAAGAGCAGACAGTAGCTCTGCGTCTCGTCGGCTTTCATCTCCAGTTTAAACTCTTCGTGCTTCTGTTCGGATTTTAATGAAGTCAGGCGCTCGGCAGCTAATATAAAGCAGAATATGTTTCCTCCTTTTCTACGCAGAATCGTTTTAATCAAAAACTGTAAACTGTTCTGTCTGTGAAGGCGACATGTTGGTCCTCAGAGGGTTAATTTCCTGATGAAATGATGGTTGTATTTATGAGTAGTCAGTATCTTACATGCTTTTAAAATGTGTTTTTAGCTCGTTAAGGGCCTTTAGTTATACAACTCAGTTTACTCAGTTTTTTATTTATTTATTTTATGGCTTTTTTTTTCCACTTTTATTCTGAAAAGGTAAAAAAGAAAGGATTTTGTGTTTACTGACACAATAAAACAAACACAAACATAAATAAATATGGCTTGTTTTCCCTCCATAAAGCCATTTCAAGGTTAATATTTGGAGTAAACTCACTCTGTTAACAAAATATCCCATGAACAACTGCACAGATTTGAATAAATATTTCAGATAGACTTTTGGAGTCAAAATTTAAGATGAAAGCCACGGCTAATCGATGTTAGCCTTCACACATAAACGTTTGTAACTCGCTAAAACGGCTAAAATCTGATTTGGTAGAAGCTGGGAGTCCTTCACAACATTTGAGCACCGACACATTTCACAAGATCTTACGAGACTGAGAGAAAAATATTTTCTAGGTTGGACCAAAATGACCACAACTTTGTCATTTCTCAAATAATTTTCCATGTCCTGGATGACTGAGAATCCACAGAAATATGTGATTATAGCGTTTGCCTTGGACTGCATCGATACTGGATCAATACTTAGATTAGTTTTATTTCAAACACATCGCTCCTGTTCCAAAAAGAATTGCTGCACCAGAGCCAAATGCAGGTTCAAAGTTAAACACTGAACTAAACAAGCGTGTCGGAAAATTTTATAATGGACATGCTAACATGTAGCATCCATGGCTACGTTCACACTGCAGGCAAATGTGACCAAAACTGGAATCTTTTGCCCCATGCAACCGATATCTGATTTTTTTATGAGTCTGAATGTGACAAATCCAACTTTTTTTAATTCTATCCAGGCCTTTCCTGGATAGGATTTACTCTGTAAACAAACAGCCAGCTGAATGAGACGTCAACGTCTTTTTCTGCTATCTGAAAACACTCCTATCTGTATGTGTTTTAAACTAATTCAAGATGAGTTATTAAAAAGGGCAAGGTCACCGCGGCTGCTGAGGTGAACCTGCTCCTTTCTCAGCGTGATCATTTCGAGCACCCCCGACGCCGGTTTGTGTCGTCTGCGGTGAAAAAATAAACGACTGTAATTACGCCCGACCACAAACATCTGTGTGCAGGAGCGGAGGTGGTGAGAAAGCGTTAGAAAGAGGAAAAGCACAACTCCATTAGCGGAGTAAAATTTTTTGTCACTCACGGTGGAGAAAGTCGTTAAGTGCTCTCCATCTGTCTTTTTCACCACGTTCATTATTTAAAACATCCCAGGTTGAGCGTTATCGGACCCGGCTCTTGAGAGGAACCTCTCTGACTTTCAACCGAGTCACGGCTTGTYGGATTAACTGGATTAAAATGTGTAAAATGTGAGGCACTTAAAGTTTGATTTTTTCCAAATCCATCAGTTTTATTAAGTCATCTTGTAGCTTTGATTCAGTCTATTTAAAAACATGACATACATATATAAAGAACTTGTGTTTTTTACAGATCACTGCTGCAGAAAATACAGATTTCCATCCAAGTTAGTTGAGGTTCAGCTGCTGCCATACGTGATTCTGCTAAATGAGCCAGTGTTGTTAAAGAAGGAGTTTATCCACCTTTCAGCTGCATCCCTTAACTTATTAACATTCAGCAGGGGGGGTGAAGGGTCCGCGTGATGGATGGATGTCGCTGAGGGGTCTGACAACTGATTAATGCCTTAATTATCTCCAGCGAGGACCTGCCACTCCTCCCAGAGCTGACAGAGTGAGCTGTGTGTGGCCTGACGAGTAACGTCGTGTTCGGGGCTCGCCCACCGCTATTTGCTCCGCCAGGGTCACATTCATTTTCTTCCTCCGAGGAAAAATGAGCACATTTCTTTTTGCCACCGGGAAGGTGTTGGAACGTTGATGAGTGCAGCAGTCTGCTTTGTGCCACTGCAGGGGTTCAGGAGGAGCTGCTCTCAGACGAGCAGTCACATGTTCGGGCCGAGCTCGGATCAGAACTGATCTTACCTTAACCGTCTGAAGTGAACAGAAACTAAACTGTGTTGGGTTGAAGAGCTTAGACCTCGGTTTTAAATCATTGATAGGATGATAGTTTTAAACTTTAGTAACAGAAAAAAACAAGCAGCGACAAACAGTCACATTTCGGGGCTCGGGGTTCAAAATTAAAGGTCTGGATTAGGACCCAGATTAGGTCTTATCTGGACGAAGATTTAAGCAGGATGAGGATTTTATGCGTCCATCATTTATACTTAATTTTAGGTGGTGCAGCTTTTCTAATTTTTTTTTTATTTTCGGTGGTGCAGCTTTTCTAGTGTTTAAGGCATTTCTTTAAGGTTGTGCAGCTTTTTTATAGTAAATCATTTTAGGAGGTGCACCTCTTCTAGAATTTATGGTAATTCATTGTAGATAGTGCAGCTCTTCTATAATTCATTTAAGGTGGTGCAGCTCTTCTAGAATTTATAATAATTCATTTTAGGTAGTTGCAGCTTTTATTTTGCACAGCTTTTCTAGTGTTTACGGTAATTCCAATTTGGTGGCGCAGCATTTCTATGGTGATTCCGTTTAGGCGGAGCAGCTTTTCTAGTATTTACGGTAACTTGTGCACCTGGCCTCACTGTTTTACTAGTTACATAATAAACTCATCTGACATAAATACTTTTTAAAATTTGTAAATACCATGGCTAAAATATATTTTTTACAAAACTATGATTTGTTTGCAAAAACAAATTGCGCATTGCTTAGAGAACAGGATGCTTTTCAACAGACAAAAATGTTTAAATGGAAAATACTTTTGAAAAATACTATATAATTTAGCATGAAAAAGCGGAAAGACTTGTAATAAAATATGTAATAATCATACATAAAGAGGTGGAATAAATGTAGTTTATGTTTTAAGAAAACAAGAACCTCAGCATTATTTGTTTTGTTTTAGATAAATTACAAAGCGTTAAAAGCATTTCTGCTTGTGTCTGTTTTTCAGGTGTGTGACTGGTGTAAACATATTCGCCACACGAAGGAGTACCTGGACTTCGGCGCCGGTGAACGACGGCTGCAGTTCTGCAGTGCCAAATGCCTGAACCAGTACAAGATGGACATTTTCTACAAAGAAACCCAGGCCGCCCTGCCTGGAGGACTGTGTAACCCCGGACACGGGGTGAGTGGGGACGGCAAGCCGGAGTGCGGCGGAGGGATGCAGCTGCTCACTCCTGAGTCCTGGGGAACGCCGTTAACGGACATTCGGCGTAAAGCTCCCTCGCCTGGGGGTCATTCCAGCACCTCCGCTTTGGCCCCTTCCTCTGCCTCTGCCACCTCCCCCTCGGATACAGCTGTTTGCTCTCCGTCCTCCTCCACTTCAGCCAAAATCCCCACACCCAGACCCCATGAAAGCCCAACACTTCCCCCACCACCTATCCCCACTTTGCACCCACCGGTCGGGGTTCCTTCTGGTAGCCCCCCCATGGTGATGACACCTCGTGGACCCATGCCCTTACCTCTGTTCATGGAGCATCAAATGATGCAACAGATCCGGCCACCGTTCCTTCGCCCCTCTGGCCACCCTGCAGGACCCAACAGTCCACTGTCCAACCCCATCATCCCCGGCATCGGACCACCACCTCCTCCAAGGACTCTTGGTCCGGCATCGAGCCCCATGCACCGGCCCCTCCTGTCTCCACATGTCCACCCGTCATCTAATCCCAATCCTGGCATGATCCCACCTCACCCAGGCCTCCCCATGCCAGGTCTCCCTCCTTTCCCTCCAGTCAACATGATGCACAATGGACCCATTCCTTTGCCCCCAATGATGAACTTTGGTATGCCATCTCTGGCCCCACTGGTGCCCCCACCAACTCTCTTGGTTCCTTACCCAGTCATTGTACCCCTACCAGTCCCGATACCCATTCCGATCCCAATTCCCTTCAACTCTAAATCATCCAGGGACCAATCAGAGAGCAGCGGCTCGGTCCGCAGCGCTCCGGAGTGCTCTGAAGGATCGTTCTCCAGGCCTCATTCTCCAAACTCCTCTGAAAGTGGCAAAGGGGAGCACAAGACAGAACCAGCTGTTGGCGAGCGAGTTTCTCCTGTACCTTCGGAAAGAAGTAAAACAGCGTTTTTGGACTTGACGGTGAAATCAGAGGAACGTTTGGGCAGTCTTTGTCAAACCAGGAGACTGATAGATGGTGTAATTGACCTAACTGTTGGCCAAAAACCAGTCCCGCAGCAGCTCTTTCAGAGGATGCTACCTGCTGGAGTAAAGGTCAAAATGGAGGCGGAGGCTGAGAGGAGCTCTTCACCTGCAGCTGGATCGGGCAGGGAGGGACAGGGTGATGAAGGGGACAGGGCTCTCCTTCAGCTGGAAAGATCCACTCCCCTGAACTCACCGGACTCTCCAGTTCAGCCTTCGAGCAGGGCTGATCCTCCAGCAAGTAGGTTGAACTTTACCACAGTGCCCAGTTCAGTACGGACACAGTTTCACGCTAACCCCGCCGCCCCCTGTAATGTAATCGTCAACGGCACCGGATGGCGTCCGCTCCTCGCTCCTGCGTTTGAGACCTGCCCCGACCRTAAAGGAGACCGGGAGGTGGAGGATCGACCACCCAACGGCGATCTGGAGCGYGAGGCGCTGAAGGAAAACAACTGTTCGGTGGGCGAACGCGAGGCGGGAAGGAGGATCTCTGCGCAAGACGAGAAGGCGGACCCGAAAGCAGAGGGCAAGACGGATCCCGACTCCGGCTTGGAAGAGGGTGAACACGCCTACGCCTTACCGCTGCTGTCAGCCAGCGGTTGCGTCGTCATCCAGCCCGTGCCAAAGCCCGCCGCCGACAAGACGGCCATCTTGTCCTGCTCCATCTCCGCGCCGTTGTCGTCGACCGGGAGCCCTGAGCTGGAGCCGCCACTGAAGAGGAGGTGCCTGCGAATCCGCAATCAAAACAAATGAGGTGGGTTGACTTCTAAACTTAAAGAAACAGATAAATAAAATAAAAAAAACATTTTCTTTTACTTTAATGGGAACCCAGAGTATTTATAACTTTAAACATTATTTGATAAACATTTACTTCTACTACATATTGTCACAAGGACCAGGTAAATGATGATGTTTACCAGGTCCTCCAGTGCAAAGCTACGAGTGCTATCCGTCCTGAAGGTTAATCTTGGACAATATTTGACGATCAGTCTTTTTAAATTAAACCAGAACGCATTGACAGARGAGAATGTAGAAATGACTCAGCCTGTAACTGAAAACAATGGAGGACAATGGCTGGTTCATGGAAGGAAAACCTCAGATTTATCTTGTTAGCTTTTCCACTAGCGCCCGAGCTAATTCATATACAGTATATTTATGGCAATGTTACGTTAGCTCCCAAGCTAATAAGGTTAGCTTGTGAACTAACACCATATATTATGAATAAATATGTGGAGCTAGTTCATATATCGCTAATGCTGTATCACTATATAATATATATATATATTAGCTTGGGTGCTAACATGAAAGCTAACAGGCTAAAGCTGAGGTTCTCCTTCTATGAAGCAGTTCTGCTGTCCTCCATCAGTATTATTAGTTACAGGATGAGTCATTTCTACCTTCTCCTCTCTGTAAAAGAGCCCTGGTTTCCTTTAATAGGTCTGATTGTCAGATATTGTCCAAGATTAACCTTCGTGGTGCGTAAAGCTCGCTAGCAGTTTCACACTAGAGGGGAAAAAAAAAGAAAAAGCCTTGCACCGGCGTAGCACCTAGTAAACGTCCTAATTTACCGGCTTTGCGACGTTAATAAGCTGGGTGAGAACTTTTTTTTTTAATTTKTAAAAACTAAACAGCCTTCAGTATTTTTACAGTTGTTGTTTTGCAGTTGAAGTAAATGTTTATCAAATATGTTTAATGATACAACTAGTCTGGGTTCGCTTGAATTCACCAAACATCCGTACATGTTCGTGTCTTCAAGAGCTAAAACCCAAACAGGAAGTCCTGCTCTCCAGTGGATTGATGCGACACATTAATGTTAAATTTAATTATGTACTCCTGGAGGTATTAATTAAATGAAACTGTAATCTTGAGCAATTTAAAGACCAATTCAGTTTTGTGGTAACATGAGGCAAGTGCTCTGAATAAGATTAATTAAAGACCACAAAAGATGAAAATGAAGCTCCGCGCACCGTTAGCGCTGCTGAGAGGAAACCAGCAGCTAAAACGAACRCAGGCGACGTGCTGTAATGTCCAGACAGATTCTAATTTATGATATTTAACAGAAAACGGTGCAATAAGTTGATTTCATGAACGAATTATTTGAATCTGGCTAGACTGAAAAAAAGATATTTGAGCTATTTTCTGTAAAATATTATGAAAAATGTGAGAAAAACTCAAAATTCATTGTTTTWTTCTGAAGCTGAAATCAACCTTGACTCAGCATCTTTCTCCTCCCTCTCTGTTTCACAGATGGATGCTTCGACGACCGCAGTGCCATCAGCGACTCACTTGTCTACCCCCATCCTTTAAATCCAATCACACCGCACGTCAAGGCGTGGGACGTCCTCGTCCTCGCCCGTCGTCCAGTCCACCAGCACCCCCCTAGATCGCCTTTTTTCACAACGTGTTCTGTATCATAGGAGAGCGGTCGGGACTCTTTGTTGGACTAATTTTATATATGATGGTGTTTTTTTTTTTGGCCAGGACCACTGGACATTTGAACTGGAGACGGTAACTTCCTGCTGCTTCCCTCTGAGTTTAAAGACTTTCAGCCCACACTGCCCCTCCGATTTTTTTTTTATTTTGGTCCGTTCTCCCACCAACATGAGTGAGAAATTTAGCGAACAAGCTTCCAAAGAGAAAWTTTTTTTTGGAATCAGCGATGCGCTTTGATACGACAATGCAAGTACAAAAGCTTTTGCTTCAGAATTAATTTCTTTCTTCGCTCAGCYGGCCTCAAACACCTTCTGATGAATGGGAATTTAAAGTGAGCACAACTGCAGTTTATGCAATGTGATTGAAAGGCATTTTTTTAATCAGAGAAATTGCCCTTGAATATAAAAAATATTCCCATTTTTTTGTTCTCAAATAATCAGCAAACTGGACACAACTTTCACCAGCAACTAATGGAGTGTGGGCACAGTCATGCCCTTTATCTGCTATTTAAGAAGCTGTTTTTGCTCAYGGAATGAACAGAAATGTCACAAATTTAACTGGAATCACTGACAGTTTCTGAAAATGTTGTCACATTTGATCAGTATTACAATTAGCTGCTGTTTGTTTCAAAGTTTACCAAAACAAGGGTGAAAGCTAAAGTAAACACTTGTTCTTGCAGTTAAAAATTTTAAATCTATAATTTATGACCAGTAATGCTTCTGGGTTATTTTGAGACTGACCCCGCCGAATTTAGAGAAGCAGGGGGAAAATAGTCTGCACATTAATAAATTATTCCTGTTGGTTCTGAAACAAATTATTTTTCTATTTGGTGACAGTTTATACTAGGGGACGTGATGTTTGCTCAGTTTCATAACAGTGAGTAACAAATTACTGGTTAATTGCAAATTAATTGTTAAACTTTTTGTCAGATAGCTATTGATTGTTAGTTTGGACAAAAGGAACAGACGAAGCATTAATGGCTAAGAATACTTATATACTGATTAAATTATTACATTTTGATTAATRCTTCATATAAATAATAATAATTAGTAATAATTCACAGATTTATTGTTTGATAATCAAGAATATAGTTCATTCTGTAATTCTGACCTAAATATTAGCTATTTAGCAAACATTTCCAATTAGCTAATACCTAATTAGCTATTAGTTAATTTCAAACTGAACATTAATTAATCATTATCTGTTTACAAAACGGTATCAGGAGTTYATTTTAAGTAACAACTAACTAACYTATATTTGTCCATTAACAGATCATTAACTAWTTATATACAATGATCGACAACTTATCTTTAGCTTGTGCTAATTAGTCACTAGCTAACCCTTGTTTCTGTCATTTCAAACTGATCATTAGATTAATGAATACCAAACTATTAATTGTTTATGTAATATGATGAATAGTTCATTTYAAATTTTATCTGACAAATAAATAACAATTAACAGCACATTTGCTATTTTAAATGTCCAGTAATTCATTACGTGCTAACGCTAACTCACCGCTAGCCCCCATCTTGTTTCTGTAAATTCAAAGTGAGCATGAATTCAAATAGTACAAACCAATGTCTTTTAGAAAATTTGATTCAACGTTAACTTAAAATCTTATCTATCTGATAAACAGTTAACAAATCATTTGTTTTTTTTTTACATAATGCATCCAGTTCTTCATTAACTCGCCGCTAGCCTCTGACTTGTTCTTGACGTTTTGCGAGCATTAATTTAAACAGTGCCAAATCATTTTGTTTAAAGTTTAAAATACTTCATGGCAAACTAACCAACAAAAACGACTCATTCATTGTCACAGATTTAACAAAATGCAGCCTGGAATTCATAATTTCTTAACAGCTCTTTAGCATATTCCTTCTATTTCAAATTGTCCCGAGATGAATCATAACAAGTCTTTTAAACAAAATAAAGGTAGTAGTTTCAGAATCATTATTGTTTAGTTTGTGTACCAAAATACATTGTTTGGCTCTCGTTATAATGTGTTACRTTTCTCTTTTCAAATTCTTTGAAGTTGCCTTTTTTTCTGACGTTTCTGATTCTCCTAACCCTAATTTAGTCTTTGTGCTCACCCTTCTCAGAACCGAGCTGTTGACCCAGTCAAACCACGCCAGCATTTAGATTACACTCTTACGAAGGGGGTAATATGAGCCAAAAGGCCTCTAGTGTTTGAAATATAAACATGCCACCTGGTTTTCAGTGAAAATTAAATTTTAACTGAAGAATGGTCCCTCGAAATAATAGTTGCCAAAATTAAATGCACTTAAAAAACACAGTAGAAACAGGAAGTGTTAAAAACAGTATTACYATCAAGACGTGATTTTTATTTCAGGTCACGAGAACAAAAAGAGATGATGCAAAGATGTGTGCGAACTTTGCAATCTAGCTTTATCTCTTTTCACTCTGAAGTTATTTGTAGGACACTTGCWTATTTATTTATTTATTTATTCACCTAATTGCACACAATGAGCATGAATGGATTGCACTCGATAAAAGCAACCCTGCTGTCCTTTCTGTAGCTCGGCTGAGATTTCTGTGTCGACTCAGAATAAGCAGTGTGTAACGTTAGATGTTGGCTGTCAATCGGGCATTCAGGTACAAGCCTGCCAGGGTCCAGCTTTAATCACTTCATTGCTCCAGCAAGCAAAAACAAGCCTGAGTGTGGCTTTTAAGTTATATGTTTCTTTATTTTTTTATAAAGGGATTCCTTTYGATGTACACAGATTGTTTAAAAATCTTAAAAAAAAACATTGAGCTGGAGCCCTTTTTTAATCCCTGAGTGTAATGCTATTTCTTTTACTTCTAGCAAAACACACAAAAAAGTGTGAAATGTTTGTTCTGTCATCTTCASTGCAATATATTTTTGTTTGTTACTAATGTAGCTCCTCAAGCTGTAAAAGTTTATGTTGAGGCCACAGTAGAAATTCACTTTTTATTGCCAAACAAACGAGCTAATAGCTGACTAGCTTCACTTAGCTTAGCTTAGCTTAGCTTAGCTTAGCACAGCTTACTTTAGCAGATTGGAGAGAGTTACTATCAATCTCTGTTTTTGCAAGTACATTGATTCAGTTATTGTTTAATTTTTAGCCTTCAAAGTCTAATAGCTTTGATGACTTTAGTTTGAGTTTTCTTCTCCTGCCCCAAACTCTGACTAAGCCAGTTGCTTTGTTTTTTTCCCCCTTATTGACATTTTTAGACAGCAACACAATGATCTATAAGTATTTCCAGACCTTCATCGTGCTGCAGTGATGTTGTAAACACTATAATGTCCAATGCTTGAGGTAGATTTTAAAGATAAGGAAGGACAACAGAATCCATTTTTATGTGCTAGCGCCTAAACTTGTGACAAATCTTTAGCATTCCTCCACGTTGGTGTTAAACTGCAGGCCTCGTCAGCAGCCTGGATTATGCAACGACATCAAATCCAAGCTGAAAAGACACAAGCGGTCTGCGTAAAATAAAAACGAATACGACGACATAACTTTTCGAAAACTACAGAGAAAGCTGCCTTAACTCTTTTGCTCGTATAATCTCTAGTTAAGACAATGATGCTCGCTTGTAAAGACGACTCTCCCTTCTTTGTACAAAACTAAAATGTACCAGAAACTTTGTTATCTTGCTAGTGTCCGTGTATAGATGATCAGCTTTTTCTGTAACTTGTATGAAATGTCACTTTTTGCTAAAAAAAAACAAACAAAACAAAAGATTCCCCCTTTTCATTCACATCTGTTTTAACTCATGGTGGACTGTCGATGTTTTTGTGTACATTTTATAGTATTATTTATTGTCGACGAGTTTTTAATGGGAAAAAGTGGAGATTGAGATGGTAAATCCCTGGTGAACAGTGTTTCTTTTTTTATTTTTAATGATGAAAGTGGAGAAAACCAGAGGACTTTTCATTATGATGTTGTACAATGTACATAACATGTGGCCAAAATTGCTTTTTAAAAAAAAGAAAAGAAAGAAAAATCCATTTTTTTGTGTTGTAACAGATCTTGTTTRATTCAGTGAATTGCTCATGAAGACAAATAAATAAGACACACACGTGTTTCAGACATTTCTGTAAATATATTAGTACGAGATAACAGAAAACACATTTTCCTTTTGACTCCTATGAGCAGATTTTAATATTTTTTTAATCACATAGCAAAATCCAAACTGAATCAGCTGCATGTGTTTATTATTTGCTTTAAAAGCTTCACAATAAAACTTTTAAGGATGAAAAAAATTGTAAATTGCAATAAACATTGTCCAAATTATCCACTTAAAGCTTATTATTTGTCTCAGTAAAGTATTTTAAAACAATCACCCTTCACTTGTTTGRTTTTAGCTGTATGAGTTAAATGTTTATGACAAGTATAAGGACAATAAAAAGTGAATTAAGTTAGTAAACTGATGTACTAGAATTCAGCAAATACAAATCTCTTGTGTAAATCAAAAGGTTGTTTAAACTGATTATATAATTACTGATAAAAACACAMAACTATAACAACAAACAAAAAACAACAAAATAAATGATCTTAGTTTACCTTATACATCAGCTCTGTATAAATGTGGATTATTTGGCCTCTTTCGCCATCTAGTGGTAGAAAAGTTAACTGCAGCAGAGAGTGTGTTTTAAAAGATACTATATTAGTAAATTTGTTGGGTTTTAATCGTCTGTTATTTTAGTACAACCAGGCAGACACTGTATTGAAACAAATTTCTTTAGCAGGTAAACACAATCATGCTTAAAAAAACTTTTTTAGCTATTGTTCTCCCATTTTGGCTGATGTTCTTATCAGAGTTGTAAAGTAACTAAGTACAAATACTTTATTGGTGTACTTAAGTAGAAATTTTGGTTATCTTTACTTGAGTAATTATTTTTCAGCCTACTTTTTTACTTCTACTCCTTACATGTTCACACAATTATCTGTACTTTCTACTCCTTACATTTTAAAACAAGGTAAGAAGAGCTTCATTTTGGCTCATTATTGTTAAAAAATACTATCCTGATAAATAGTGCCTCCCGGAAAGAGTGAATTTAATTGTAGCTGGATGAGAAGTATACCATCCTGACAATAAATTGTACACAACCCATCACAAATGCACACCGATAGAAAAAAAAAAGTTTTTTTTGGAGGTCATTTTGATAAACCTAACCGCTTATTTTTACTCAATACTTTTACTTTTAATAA